CAATCCTTTTCCCTTTTCTCTTTTTCTTTTTCCTTGTATCTCTTTCTTCTTTTCCCTTTTCTTCTTTCTCCTTTCTGTTTGCTTTTTTCATTTTGGGGTTTCTTTATTGTTTGGGGTTTTTTTGGGGGGAGTGGTTGGTTGGTTTGTTTGGGTTTTTTTGAGAGTGAGAGGGTAGAGAATGTTACAGGTTCATTACCCATTGTAGCTTTTCACTGCTCATGTCATTGAAGTTCAGATGAAGGACAGGTCAGAGAAAGTGATCAGCACAGAAGATTGCTGTTACTAAGCAAGAGAAGCAACTGTCCAGCACTAGTGAAGACAAGTCTTTGGCCAGCATTTCCTACTTTTCCCAGAGAGAAGCCATGGGGCAGTGTTCCCACAGGCAATGCTAGGGAGGAGAAGCAGCTATCATCTAGCTGAGATGACCTTCTCTATGAAGAGAGGTATTGAGAAGAACTACCTGTTGTTTGTGGGCTTTCAAGAAGCTGCATCCATGTGAGAGTCATCTTACTGCGTGTATGTGTGACCCATCTACTGCTAGCTGTGTTGATCCAACCAAGGGCTGTGATTACAAAGGGAAGCTTGCTGTTTCAAGTTTCTTACCTGGAAGAAAGGTACAGTCAGAGGCTGTGGAGTCTTCTTCTCTGGAGATATCCAAAACCTGCCTGAATGTGGTTCTGTGCAAACTGCTCTAGGTGAACCAGCTTTAGCAAAAGGTTGGGCTAGGTGATCTCCAGAGCTCCCTTCCAACCCAAACCACACTGTTATTCTGTGAATGCTGGCCCTGATGCTTTGTCCCAGCCCACTTCTCCTACCAAGGGAGTTGCAGTGTTTCCTTTCAGTTCACTGACCAAGACACTGGAGATGTGGGAAAGTTTGGTGTTGTGTCTATAGTCAGTGTGGAAGTCTGTTTCCTGTTGCATGCAAGGCTTGAGTGAGTAATTTCTCTAGTTTATCTTGATTCAAATCAAGTTTTGTTGATGAAATATAGATGCTGGCAGTGGGAAGAAGGAGCAGCAACTGCCTGGAAGTGTTCAAGGCCAGGATGGATGGAGCTTGAAGCAACTTGGTCTAGTGGGAGGTGTCCCTGCCCATGGCAGGAGGTTGGAACTAGATGATCTTTAAGGTCCCTTCCACCCCAAATCAGTCTGTGACTCTGCGATTGTCTGTCCTTGCCCAGGGGACTACGGGAGAGGGTTTTTAGCTTTGGATTATTCCTGTGCATTAGGCACTTCACTATCAGTCTGCAAGAGGCTGAGGGTGACAGGTGGAATTGAAAGCTTCTCAGCCTGAGCATATGGTACCAAGGTGGGAACAAGCTCCATAAAGAACAGCTTTCCCCACTGCAGGGAGCTGTATCATTGTAACACTTCAAACACGAAATAAGGACTCCTCCTAAGCTGGCTTGTGATTAACTTGGCAACTTGGCTCCAGGAAGACCTAATTGCAGCCTTCCAGTACCTGAAAGAGGCCTACAGGAAAACTGGGGAGGGACTTTTTACAAAGGCTTGTAGCAAGAGGACAAGGGGGAATGGATTAAAGTTGGAAAAGGGGAGATACAGAATAGACATTAAGAGGCAATTATTCACTGTAAGGGTGGCAAGAGACTGAAACAGATTGCCCAGAGAACCTGTGGAGGCCCCATCCCTGGAAGTGTTGAGGGCCAGGTTAAATGGGGCTCTGAGCAACCTGGTCTAGTGGGAGGTGTTTCTGCTGATGCAAGGGTTTGGAACTATGTGATCTTTAAGGTCCCTTCTAAACCAAACCATTCTGTGATTCTATGATTCTATAATTACATGTAAGGGTGAGCACAACTCTCAGGACTTCTGACATTTCCAGAGTTCTCATTCTCAAATGTTTCAAGAGTGTCATCTCTACAGTTTAAGAAGCAATCCTTGCTAAGCCTGTCCTTACTGTGGTGCCTTGCAATGGGGCCACTTATATGTGATTCTAATGGTGTGTAGGTGCATGGCAGGAGATGGCTGTGGGCATCAGCTATGGGCTGCAGGCAGCCTTGATCTAGACAAACCACAGCCGTGCCCTTGGCAGTTAGAGAAAAACATCTTTGTAGGAAAAGAAGGTATGAGAGAGATACGGAAATTCTTGTAAGAAAACGTAGCTTGTAACCTATCACAAAGTAAGATAGAACGTGTGAACAGAAGCTGTTAACCAATGGGAAGGAGGCATAAGGCGTGTGGACAGGAGAAAAAGGTGTAAGAATGCTATGTAACCTAATAATAAAGACTGATACTTGTGACCATCATGGTGTTCCAGTCCCTTGCTCTGCCCCAGATGGCCTGCACACTGACCTTCAGGGTTGAGAGTGACCTTTCATGTGCTGTCTGTCACTTTCCAGAAAAGGTTTTTGACCAAACAAGGCATCTGTGCTCTAGTACCTGCGCTAGAGAAGCTCTCCTTCACAGTTGCTTTGGAAGTGCGGCAGAATATGCAGCTATGAGACAATGTGAGGCTGAGGCAAACACAGTTTATTTAAATACTTTACTTCTAGTTAACACGTGCTCTCTCTGAGGCACGTACCAGCAGAGCTTCAGCTATGTTCATACGGTACACCTAAACCAACGCACTTAGAAGGTTGGATCTATTTTGCTAGCTTAAACTGAACAAGAAGAGGCATAATCAAACAAGGGGAACCTATGTTGAAAAGATAATGTTGAGCTTGCCTTTACTTTTTGCAAAATGGTTGCTCTTTCAATACCACATTAGAAGGCCTCGGGCTGCTGGGGGGTCACCCTTGTTACTGGGAAGCCGCCCCTCCAGGGACCTGCTGCCGAGCCCTGCCAGCTGGAAAAGAAGCCGCATCTAAGGAGCCACACGCTACGGAAGGGTAAACGCGCACACACACGCACACTCACACACACGCGCACGCACACACGCACGTGCACACACATGCACACAAACATACTCACACACACACTCACACACACACTCTAACCGTCCTGCCAGGCTCAACTCCTCCCTCCCTCTCCTTTGATCCACAACCCTTCCTCAGAGCAAACACCTCAAGGGCACAGCACTTTTTGCATTACCTCCCTAAAGGACACATTACTGCCCTGATATATTTGTCATTTTTATATTTTCCCTAAACCTCATCCTTCCGTTTGTGTTAACCCTTAATAAACCGGTGAACTCATAAAACAAACATTGGTCTCTGTAGCAATTTGTGAGCATGGTGGGGGTGCATTCTAACAACCACTCTAAAATAGGGTCCCGCAGCGACTGTTCCTCTGTGAGAGGTGAACACCACGTGTGAGCCCTCGGTCTCATTCAACAGCCCCTCCAAATTGGGGGGGGAAAGTCACGAAAGCACCTGACAGCCAGTGGCCCCCCTGGCATTGACTCACGACACACGTCCTGTATCAAATAATCATATAATTCCAAGTTGGAAGGGACCTCAAGGATCATCTGGCCCAACCTTTCTTGAAAAACACGGTCTAGACAGGATGGCCCAGCACCGGGCTCAACTGAGCCCTAAAAGTGTCCCATGTTGGGGAATTCACTGCTTCCCTGGGGAGATTAGTCCAGTGTTTAATTGTTCTCATTGTGAAAAATCTTCCTCTCGTGTCCAATTGGAACAGCCTTAGGAGTACCTTGTATCCATTACCCCTCACCTTTTCCATGTAACTCCTTGTACAAAGGGAGTATCCATCTTTTTTGTAACCACACTTTAAGTACTGAAACACAGTAATGAGGTCTCCCCTGAGGCTTCTTTTCTCAAATTGAATTGGGGACCTTGTCTTCATGTGTGTTTTTATAGGTTTAACACAATTACAGTCTTGGAATCATCAGCAACTTTGCTTTTAATAACAAAAATAAAGCAAAACATCTGCTTTCAGTGGACTAATCTTTTAAGCTGTAAAAGCCTGGACTGGTTACTAATCCTAACTCATCTCTTGTATATGGGAAGGAGGGAACAGTTCCCTGGACACGAGAAGTGAAAGCTGAAATTGAAAATTCCACTAGACACGCATCTAACACCAAGCAGAGATGGACTTCAAGCACACTAGGGAATAGGACTAGAATTCAAAAGACCTTGTGAAATTGGAGAAATGAGGTAAAAAAAGAACATTTAATTTATGCAGGGAAAATGCAAATTTTATGGTTTGTTAGGAATAACCAGGATGTTAAAAACAGAATGGGGGACATTCTGTTAAGACAGAAGTTCTTCATAGCATGGCCTGGTTGTGCAGAGCAGAATTCTCCTAAATAACTAGTTTTAAACACCTACATTTAGTATTTATTTGTCTTGACATGCTATACCTTATAACAGGTTGCTCTGCCTAGCAGTTCAGCAGATAATGGCCAGATTCCTGCTTCTCAATTCACGTGGCCAGACAGCAATGCCATGTGGCACTTGGCCAAAGCACATTCGACCTTGGAAGGCAGCATGGCTGTCTCCTAGCGACACAGAACATAAAATATTATTTATCCATTTCTAGCGTGATCAAATTTGTCTTTGATGAACCTTTAATGTCTTAGTTACATTTTCTGTCATCACTTGTTCTACATTTAAAATATAAGTAACGTTGTTAGACACAAGGTCACATTGTTTATCAATCAGTATTACTTTTTCTGCTTTAGGGTACAAGCTTTACTTGGTTTTGTGGTCTAAATTTAGCTTGAGACCTTCAGGGAAACAGTAAATGTGGACTTCTCACAGCAACTCTAGTGGGGAGCATCAGAGAGCAGACAGTCAAATAAAATCATGCCATGGTATATTTCTCCTCCTGAAGAATATGGCCACTCCTAATGCATTTCTTCCATTTCTCCATTATTTTTCTTTCCTTTATGTTGGTTTATGGGCCAAAAAATGTAGACAAGCCACCAGCTCTCACTTCACGTGTAACATAGGCTTGGGATTTTACCCAGTCTCTCTTTTAACTGATCCATTAAACATTTCTGCAAGGGCTGGCTCTCCTTAGCATGATGTGTCAAAGAGATAGGAGGAAAATTGTTGCAGGTGGGTGACAAAAGGGTTTCCTCTATTCTGAAGCCTTTAGAAGCTGCTCAGAGTCCGGTTTAGCTGAAAAGGGGGGAAAAAATTTTTTAAAATAATAATTAAAAAATGAAATAATAATAATAGTAGTAGTAGTAGTAGTAATAATAATAATAAGTAAGATGCAGGAAAATTATCTGAGCACTGGAGCACCTCAGCTATGAGACAGGCTGAGAGAGTTGGGGCTGTTCAGCCTGGAGAAGAGAAGGCTCTGAGGAGATCTCATAGCAGCCTTCCAGTACTTGAAGGGGCTACAGGAAAACTGGGGAGGGACTTTTTACAAGGGCTTGTAGTGATAGGGCAAGGGGGAATGGCCTTAAATTGGAAGAGGGGAGATTTAGATTAGACATTAGGAAGAAATTATTTCCTGTGAGTGTGATGAGACACTGGCACAGGTTGCCCAGTGAAGTTGTGGCTGCCCCATCCCTGGTGGTGGTCAAGGCCAGGTTGGATGGAGCTTTGAGCAACCTGGTCAAGTGTGAAGTGTCCCTGCCCATGGCAGGGGGGTTGGGACTAGATGATCTTTAAGTCCCTTCCAATGTAAACCATTCTATGATTCTATGAAGACCAAAGAGGTAACAAACATCACATCAGTCCCATCTTCCACCAGAAATAAGTCTCCAGCTCATCGGCTCCCCACCTCTCCCTCCAAGATCCTGGGATATGTTGATCTCCATCTCTCCTGAGTGGGGGTGCAGTGGAGAGGATGATGCTCCTTGCTGCATCTCGCCCACAAAGGAAGTGGCTCAGCACTATAAACTCCTACCTGCTCTTCTCCTGAGCACAATGAAGAGGACAACGATGAACATGACGGTAGCAATGAAAGCCCCCAATAGTCCTTCTGATCCTGTTTGCTCTGCAGAGGAAGAGGAGCATCAGTGAAGTTAAGTTGGCTGGAGTGGCTGAACAGTTGGCTGGAGTCATCGCAGTTAATCTATCTACCCCAGCACCTGAACATGTACATGCTCTTGCCAGGTACACAGATGTGACATGACACACATGAGCTAAAGCCACACAGACCCAGGGCCAGTTACACTGGCTCTACTCTCATGTCATAACTCATTAAACTGTAGTATTGCTTGCTTTTTCCATGCTGGGTCAAGACAAGGCACAGGAGCAATCTCCCATCAGCAGGGAGAGTGCTCCAGAAGCTCCAATGGGAAGAAGGATTTTTTTGTGCTGCTGGGACTATAGTTCCTAAGCAGCACTGGTCTCCAGATGAACATCTAGTCCAGCTGGTTGTCTAACTCCTTGGGGCATGCCTGTTTTCTTCTGCCTGCCCAGTGGGCTCCAACCCTTACACTACCAACTTTTGCTCTGTTGCTCCACTTAATGGTCATAAAATCCCTTTTCCCCTGAAGGAAATGAGATACTTGTTCCCAAAAAAACTTCAGGGAGTGAAATAAAGGCTGAGGAAGAGAAAGGGAAGAGCTGGATAGAGAGAATAAGTGTGAGAGGACACCAGAAGGAAAGCAGGGAGAAACAGGCAGATATGGTGTGACTCAGAGGTTTTGGTCTCTGTGGTGGGTTGATGAAGACATCTGAGCAGGACAAAGAACTTGCCTCTCTGCCCCTGACATTTACCTGGTGCCTTAAGATGGGCACTCACAGAGATGGGCTCTGCCAGGGCCATGTGTGACACACGGCAGCTGTAGGTGGCTGGTGCCTGCACTGTGGCTGAGCTGATGCTGAGGTAGGAGGTGATGCTGTAGGTGCCATCTCGGCTTTGCCGGTGGCTGGAGAAACGTGTGTTTGAGAGAGAGATTTCCACTTCACCCTTAGGAGTCTTCTGTGTCCAGCTCACTGAGATGTCCAGGGGGTAATAGCCAGCAATGTTGCAGGTGAGAGTAGTTGTCACACCCCTCTCGAATGTCACCACTGCTGGAACCACATGAACTCTTGGAGGCTCTGGAGGAGATAAACAGGGAACATACAGTTAGCAGGGTATAGAAATCCCCATCCATAAGGGAGAGAAGACAAGCTGGTTGTCACAATGAACATGGGGTATGATATGTTAAGCGTGCAGGGCAAAGTTTCAGTGCCTGGGGACATGGGACTCTTGTTGCCCCCAGATGTTTGTCTTCCTCACCTGCCACTTGCAGCTGGATGATGTGCTGGGCCTGGTGCAGTGAGGTAGACAACAAACAGATATATGTCCCTTCATCCCCTACGCTGACTTCTTGCAGGTTAAGTGATGCATCTCCGCTCCTCAGCAGCTCCACCACATCCACATGGACTTTTGGCTGTGCTGCTGGGCTTGTGCTCCCCACCTGGTACTGAAAAAGGCTACGGCCGCTGCCTCGATGCTGCCTCCTCCACTCCAGGGAGAAGAACCAAGAGCTGGGAGCCAAGGCAAAGTGACAATCAAGGGTGACTGAGCTGCCAAGACGCACACGCAAGGAAGTATTGTGTGATGATGATTGAAATTCAACTAGAAACAGAAAGGACACAGACAAGCAGAAGGTTAAACAGATGTAGTTAAAGAAGGCACTATTGGGTGGGAAGGGCTGGTGGAAGGGCTGGCAGTGAACTCCCCAACAAAAGGAGGCACAGGCACCAATATGGAACCATGTGGACCTGGAACCATGAAGAGCTGGAGAAAGCCAGTTTGGTGAGATTAGCAGGGCAGGGAGACAAGTGAACACCAAGTACACATCATGATCTTGAAGGTGTGTGTCACCCCTAGGGGCTGGGGCACGGGAAACCTTGAGAGGAGGTGTGGGAGGGGCAATACATGAGGCCCCTATTTCCCCAAGCACCAATTCCTGTCAGCCCTCAGGTCCTGGTGAGAGGTGGGGCATGGGACATGTGGGCAGGCAGGGCTTCTCTCCCCTCAAGTTCCTCACTGCTTTGGGGGCACCCTGGACATCTGGTCACCTGTGGTCAGCACTGTCCCCTCTTTACTCATAGGAATCCTCAGCTTTGGGTGCAGTGTTGCATTGTGCTCCTTCTCCTGCTCTTGGCTGATGCAGTGGGGGCCTCTGAGCACCAGGGTGATACTGATCCCACTGGAGAGCTGCAGGGTGGCCATGAACCAGGAAAGACGGCAGGGCCTCTCACCAGCCTGCTGGAAGCTGTATGGGGAGATCTCGCAGCTCACCTCCTCCCCACCACAGTCTGCGTGCAGCAGGGACTCTGCGTGGGGGACAGAGACGGATGGGGCTGTGGGGAGAGGAGAAGAGGTTTAACCATCTGAATCCAAATGGGAAAAGAAGCGCAAGATGATGAGATTTCTTTTTTGGAGAAGTGGCATGTGCTGCAGGTGTCAGTCAGAGTCCAGAAGTGCCAGGCAAGGCATCAGAAATTAAGGCCTGCAAAGAATAGGAGAGGTTTGTCACAACTGTCTTACATCCCTGTGCCTGTTGGCTGCATTTGATCTTGCAAGATAGGAGTAGCAAGGACAGGAATAGATAGGAAGCTGTTAAGAAAGGAGAATAAACAGAACAGACAAGCTGTGTATGCCCAGCAAACGGTGTATGAGAAATGCCCAGTAAAGACTTGGCTGTTCAGTTTAGGCCTGAATCCAGAAAGAAAGGGGACACTGAAACATCCCACATAAGGGAAGAAAGGATTGCAAGAAGGCAGAATGGCTGTATGTACTGGATGCACACAGTGTCTGTGCCTTTGGTCACGGCATGGGCTTCAATGTAGGGGCAAGCAGGTTGGCACCCATGGGTGAAGTAAGGAGAGCCAAGCTGCACACAGCCAGCCTTCTCAGCAGGAGAGTTCTGCTTCACTTACCATGACACTTCCTGCTAGGAAAAAGCATCTGCTTGACTGAAGATGTAAATGCTCTTTATGGGTGCAGTAACACCATATAGTGGAATAATTCCTGAGTTGTATTTCTCAAGGTATTTCCCAATAAATAGGCAATCTAGGATAGCCCCAGTAGGAGAGAGGTGCCTCAACAGGGTGAGCTAACACCTTCCACCAAGTTCCTTTCTTAAAGTCCCAACCCCTGAATTCAATGAAATCATGCATGAAGCTTTAGTGGCCATTGAAAAACTGCCTAAATTCAATTAAAAGAAAAATCATGTCGATGCCTGGTACATACAAGTGGCCCAAACCCCAGTGGCAGCTCTCCCACCCCAGTTCTCTCACTCACCTGAGGCTTCAAAGACAATAGGAAAAGAGAAGTCAGGATTTGCCTGTGGAATTTTGTACTCAGCTTCATCCCCCAAGTTCCCGTCGTTCCTGACGCTGATGTCCCTCAACACGAGGGTAGCAGGATGCTGGGATGACAAGCTGCTGAAGGCACGCAGAGACCCTCTGGCATCTTCCCCCACGTAGGAGCAGCCCAGGGCGATGTCCACCTTGCGAAACGGAGGTGCTGGCTCTTTAGGGAAGGAAAAGAACCGCATCCTTACGACAAAGAACAGCGTACGAGCTTCTCCGGGATGGCCAGTAGGGATAAATAATCGGGAGGCAGCGGGGCTGGCTGCAGCTTGGAGGTTGCTCTCCCAGCCCTGCAGGCTGCAGACCCCTCTAGCCCCGCACCACCCTCCCCCGGCAACACTATCAATCTTTAGGAAGCCCCTGATTTTCCACTGGAATACCTTCGCCGAAGGAATGGGGGGTTGTGAGCGCAGGAGGCCCCGGCCCGGCCCCGGGAAAGCCCCGACCCCGCCTCCCCGGCCGCCCGCAGCTCACC